ACAGTAAATAGCCATCCCTTACCTCACGCTCATTGTAGCATTCTTGTAAATGTTATAAATAAGTTTGGTGTATCGATAATGGACTCTGCATTCTTGAAGTACTTGCAAAACTGCCATCAACTCAATTTAAATCAAATTTTATAAATACCTCTAAATATCCAACTTGGGTAAATACCCCCGGGTATATATCCAGGGAATTTTCCCTTGAAAATAAATACCTGGGTATTTAACAATACTGATTAAGGACATAAAAGAGAAAAGTGCGCATGCGTCACGTTACGACCGATTGTTTTAGCTTTAAGAAGTTAAAAGTTGGGCAGCTCTTGGGACTAGGACAAAAACCATTTTATTCGTAAGGTGTTGCATGAACAGTACTACTATAACACAATACCTTAACTTTTCACTCTTACGACTATGCCAACAACTACGACTAAAACACGTTGCAACCCACTATTAGATATCACTTTTGACGTTAAAATCTTCGTGTGAGGCAAAATAATCAAATTTGACAGTTAGAACTTGAATTGGTGGCAAAAATTAAGGTTGACATGTCATTTACAATGTCAAACTGTAAATTTAATCAAAGTTAATTAGACACATCTTGTAAATATTTTAGATCGAAAGCTCCGAATGAACAACCCATTCAACGAAAATTTCAAATCTCTACGAACAGTGGAACCTGAAAAAGTTCTAACGAACCAGTTACGTGAGACACCCTGTATAGTTTAATAAGAAAGGTAAATAANATCGAAACTTTAATTTGATTTTTCGGTATGTTCTACTCACTTTGCTTTTATATTTAACGTATTTTTTTCGTCGATTTTTAAGCCACATGATTCTTGAATCTAACTATTTTGAGGTTAATTTGACATTTCAATTTGACATTCAAAAAATTATTACCAACTTAAATTTTACTAAGAAAAAAAATTTATTAAACTTTATTTTTCTTTAGCTCATTTTCTTCCTGCTGCTTTACTTTTCGTTTTGGGTTATACAGGATGCGACCCAGCAGCTCCTGCAGCTTTATACACTGCTGCTTTAACTTTAACTGGAGCGACCCCCGCTGGGGCTTTTGCAAGTGCAGCGGATATCGCACCAAATTTTGCAGGTTAAAAAAAACTTGCAAGTCTTAAAATTTACTTTTAAATAATTTAATTTTGTAAAAAAGGAACTGTATTTGGCCTGTGTCAAACAATAGGAGCTGCGGGGCTTTTGGCAGCTAATTACGTCGTTTCGGAGGGATTACACGGATCGGTAAATCTTTTTTATAAATTTTCTTTGTCAAATATTAACATTTAACATTTCTTTTTAGTTCGCTGGTTGGTGGAGATTAGTTTTCGGGGTCTCATCCGCTGTGCTTTTAATAACAGCAACGTGTTTTATGGCGATAGGAAGCGGAAGCATTCAGGATTGGAACGCTCCGTGCAATTTCGAGATAGAAAGGGAACCGGTTGAGGAAGCCTCACGATTAGAATCCGTTTTAGAATAAAAAAATATTAAAAAAAGTTCCCAAGAACTCGTTCTTGTTGTCACAATTTCTTCTTGTACATTTTTTTTTCTTTTTTGCAACCCGAAGAAGTCTTGCGATGAGAACACTATCAGTTCGATCTTATTCTTCATTATTTCAAAAGTTTCCCAAGAAATTGTATTGCGGGAAAATGAAAGTGCTCTTTTAATATTAATTGTTAATGAATAGTGGTGAATGCAAAAATGCAAGCGTTTCATATACAGGTGTCTCATGTAATTTGTTCGTTAGAAGGAACGTTTAGTTCGTAACTTTCGATCTAAACAGGAATAATACAAACTTGGACCAAAAACTGTCAAAATTCCATAGTTTTCTAATAAAAAAACCTGCATTTCGTGCATGTTTTAATAAATTTCCCCAATACGAGGTAAACTACAATAAATAGGTATAGGAATGTTTATAGATAATTTGTAGAGAATTAAATTCCCTTTCTGATAGGCTAAAAAAGTATGGGGCGTTCCATTTAAAATTTTCGACTTCCTCGCCATTGAATATGGAGAAATAGTAACTCAATTTTTGACCATCCTGTATAAGATACTCCAATACAACAAATGACAATGTATTTGACAGCATCTGAAAAGTAATCGTGCCAATGTAGATCTATTTTGAATGAACGTAGGCTGAGATATGGGGTTTTAAAGAGCATGTTGAAATTTACCAAAAAAAGGTTAAAACCAAAATAACTCAAAAACGAAAAACGCTAGGTACCAATAACTTTTATCAAAGTCAACCTATTTTTTATATATAATTAAAGGGTGTAATAAAAACTATGGCATTCCATTTAAAATAACGAAGTTATTATAAAATTTCAAATCTCTACGAAAATTAGAACCTGAAAATGTTCTAACGAACCAGTTACGTGAGACAGCTGTATAGTTTAATAAGAAAGGTAAATAAATATTAATCTGTCATCTGTCATTAAAATTTGAGGTTATGTAATTAATATAATTATTATTATAAATTCAAATTATAACAAAATCAGCATTTTAACGATATTTTTCATAAAAAATAAATGTTTTTAACATAAATATTTGGGGAAAATGAATTTATCTGATGAAATAAAAAGTGAGGTTAAGTAAATTTTATAAATTTATTTAAAAAGTGTATAAAGCGATTTTATTTGATAAAAATCGCAAATAAATAACTAAAATAATGCATAATCTCAAAATGACTTTATATTTAATATTTAACTTTAATCATAGATATTTATCTTTATTAAAATATCAATTGGTAGCAAAAATTGAGGTTGACATGTCAATTAGAATGTCAAACTGTAAATTTAATCATTAAGATGTCATTTAAATGTGACTTTTGACATTTAAATCTACTTGTGATGGTACATGCTCAAATTTGACAGTTACAATGTCAATTGATAGCAAAAAATAAGGTAAATATGTCATTTAGAATGTCAAATTGTCAATCTTGTCTTTAAGTTATCATTTAGATGCTACTTTTAACATTAAAATCTGCTTGTGATGCGAAATGATCAAATTTGACAGTTAGAATGTCAATTGGTAGCAAAAATTGGGGTTGAGATGTCAATTAGAATGTCAAACTGTAAATTTAATCTTTAAGATGTCATTCAAACGTCATTTTTGACATTAAAATCTATTTGTGATGCAAAATGATCAAGTTTGATAGTTAAAACGTCAATTGGTAGCAAAAATTGAGGTTGACATGTCAATTAGAATGTCAAACTGTAAATTTAATCATTAATATGTGATTCAAATGTGACTTTTGATATTAAAATTTACTTGTGATGATACATGCTCAAATTTGACAGTTACAATGTCAATTGGTAGCAGAAAATAAGGTAAATATGTCATTTAGAATGTCAAATTGTCCATCTTGTCTTTAAATTATGATTTAGATGTTACTTTTGACATTAAAATCTTCTTGTGATGCGAAATGATCAAATTTGACAGTTAGAATGTCAGTTGGTAGCAAAAATTGAGGTTGAGATGTTAATTAGAATGTCAAACTGTAAATTTAATCATTAATATGTCATTCAAATGTTACTTTTGACATTAAAATCTTCTTGTGATGCGAAATGGTCAAATTTGACTGTTAGAATTTCAATTAGTAGCAGAAAATAAAATAAATATGTCATTTAGAATGTCAAATTGTCAATTTTGTTTTTAAGCTGTCATTTAGATGTCACTTTTGACGTTAAAATCTTCGTGTGAGGTAAAATAATCAAATTTGACAGTTAGAACTTCAATTGGTGGCAAAGATTGAGGTTGACATGTCATTTAGAATGCCAAAATGTAAATTTAATCTTTAAGATGTCATTCAAACGTCATTTTTGACATTAAAATCTACTTGTGGTGCAAAATGATCAAATTTGACAGTTAAAACGTCAATTGGTAGCAAAAACTGAGGTTGACATGTCAATTAGAATATCAAACTGTAAATTTAATCATTAAGATGTCATTCAAATGTGACTTTTGACATTAAAATCTACTTGTGATGGTACTTGCTCAAATTTGACAGTTACAATGTCAATTGGTAGCAAAAAATAAGGTAAATATGTCATTTGGAATGTCAAATTGTCAATCTTGTCTTTAAATTATCATTTAGATGTCACTTTTGACGTTAAAATCTTCGTGTGATGCAACATAATCAAATTTGACAGTTAGAACTTCAATTGGTGGCAAAGATTGAGGTAGACATGTCATTTAGAATACCAAATTGTAACAAAATTGTAAATTTAATCTTTAAGATGTCATTCAAGCGTCATTTTTGACATTAAAATCTATTTGTGATGCAAAATGATCAAATTTGACAGTTAAAACGTCAATTGGTAGCAAAAATTGAGGTGGACATGTTATTTAGAATGCCAAATTGTAACAAAATTGTAAATTTAATCTTTAAGATGTCATTCAAACGTCATTTTTGATATTAAAATCTAGTTGTGATGCAAAATGATCAAATTTGGCAGTTAAAACGTCAATTGGTAGCAAAAATTGAGGTTGAGATGTCAATTAAAATGTCAAACTGTAAATTTAATCATTAATATGTCATTCAAATGTGACTTTTGACATTAAAATTGACTTGTGATGGTACATTCTCAAATTTGACAGTTACAATGTCAATTGGTAGCAGAAAATAAGGTAAATATGTCATTTAGAATGTTCAATTGTCAATTTTGTCTTTAAGCTATCATTTAAGGTGGGTTCATGCAAAGTGTTTTAGGATTGGTTCATGCAATATTTAAGCACTGCGCATTAAAGGACGATTTTGACATATAAACAGTCGTGCCACAACTCGTGCCAAGTTAAAAAAAAAGAAAGAGTGAAACTGTTTTGTTTATTATGAATAAAAAGAAAATTGTTGTCGCTGCTAGTGTAATGTGCATGAATGTAGCTCTATTAATCGCACAAAGATTAAGAAATAACAGAAGACGGCGTTTTGGCAGAAGACCAATCAATAAAAATAGAGAATTAGAGGGAAATTATGCCACTTTGATTAGAAACACGTTGGAAGAAGAGGAAGACGATTTTTTAAATATATTCGCATGTCGTTCGAAGAGTTTAAGGAATTGTTAAGACTAAAGGTGCAATTTCACCAGCTCAAAGGTTGATAGTAACCCTACAGTAAGTTTTTGTTTAATTTTATATTATAAAAACATTTAAATTATGTATTAAAATTATTGTAGTTATTTGTCAGAAGGAAGTTCTATGCAAGAGCTAGCTTAAGATCCACTGTACATTATATAATTAAAGAGACAACAGCTGTTCTGTGTTTTGTGGAACGTACTACAGCCGGAGTGTTGTCAGAGGTAACAAGACACATATTGTTGATGAAACACATCCATATACAAGCACCAAAAGCATCGGGAAGTGAGTTCTTCAATTATAAACTTACCTTCAGCATTGTTTTAATGGCATGTGTAGATGCGGATTATAATTTCATTGTAGCAGATATTGGAGCTGGTGGAAGAAATCATGACAGCACTATCTTTAAAGAATCTTCTTTTTAATGGAAACATAGATATCCTTTTTCCAAAGAAATTGCCTGGAAGCAACATTATACTTCCACATTTTGTTGTGGGTGATGCTACGTTTCCTCTAATGGAAAATATAATGAGGCTATATCCCGGACAGCACTTAGGGCTAGAAAAGAAACATTTTCAACTGTCGTTTATCCAGGGCAAGGAGGACCGTTGAAAATGCCTTTGGTATATTCTGCCAGCGGTGGAAAATCATAGCTAGGGTAGACATAGTAGAAAATATTGTAAAAGTTTTACATAACTTCCTTCGTATTGAACGGCAAAGCGAAAGGTACTGTCCTCCAGGATATGGTGATACTATTCAATCAGAGTCAGGGGAAATTATAAATGGTCAGTGGCAAGCTGAACCAATGCCACTGCAAAATTTAGGACGGGCTGGAAGCAACAATGCGGCAAGAAGGTTCTAGAAGAACAGAGACTTGTTGTGTCAATATTTTAACGGTATTGGAAGTGTAACATGGCATTTATTTTTATGGTCTTTATGTTGTGGATCATAAAGATATTGATACCCTTATTAATTTTGAGTCAATTTGGTCCGCATTTGACTCCATTGAGATAATTGTCGAAACAATAATGCACAAAAACCTTCATACAATAAAATACAAAACCTAACTGACCTAACCTCAATTTATAAAACAAAACACTGCTATATTATAAGCAGTGATGGGCGCTGGGTAAATACCCGGCGGGTAGGTATTTATAAAATGGATATTCATCTGGGTATTTACCCTGAACCGGGGTAAAGTACATATAAAAGTGATAAGAAAATGTAGAGGAACATGATGAAATGGGCGTTGAAGACGAGGAATTGTCAACGATCGAAGACGTATTATAATCAGGTAACCACTGCTCATTCTTCATTCTTGCGATGATGATCTGCCCAGTTCCACTTGAGCTTTGCCACAATTTTGACCGCATCGTTTACGCCAGTTCTTCTTCGTAGGTCATTTTGTATGTGGTCCCTCAGGGTTTCACCCAACATCGACCTCTCCATCTTTTTTTGCGTTACTTTGAGCCTCCTGGTAATGGCCACCGTTAATGTTAAAGTTTCGGGACCGTATGTCATAACCAAAGGAGGAAGCACGCATTGATTGAAAGCCTTTCTTTTCAAATATACAGGAATATCGCTGATGAAGATGTCTCTAAGTTTCCTGTAGGCTGCCCATGCGAGTATCGTCCTTCTGTTTAGTTCGCGCTTGTTTGATTATTATCTCTCGATACGCCTCATGGCCAAGATATATGGCGATGCGAACCAACTGAGATGAGTACGTTAAGAACAATAGTGGAAAAGACAAGAAGAGATAGAGTTAAGCACAAAATTGTAAGAGAATTTTGTGGATTCGGAGATATCATGAGATTTGCTAAGGGAAAAAGAAAAAAAAATAATGAATACTTCCAAAGAATAGAGGACCTGGCTGATTAAAACAGCAAGAGACCAAAGATTAGCTAGAAAGGGATCCCGGGAGACCAGGAAGTTGGATTTCCAGCTCTAATAAAACACCATGAATGATGCGTAAAAAACAGGTTACAACCTGAATAAAAGAAGAAGAACAATAAGTTCTTAAACGAATTTTTAATTGGAAATCAACAATCTCATGGATCTTGGAATCTTGGATTTGATGGAAGTGTAATATGACTAGAAAAGAATCAAAGAACAAGAATTAATGAAGCACAAAAACTGAATTTAGTCATTAATATTAGACTTATACTCAATTCAGGACATTCAAAGTTGTTTTTCAAGCATTAAAGAAATCGTTAAATATTTTCGAAGAGTATTACATAAACGGGAATGGTCGGTAATGAAAATATAAACTTTCCCGAAACATATGTACACTTTAAAGCTAATAAGACCAGGAATGTGTATAAATTTGTTAAACAGTTAAGACAAAGGCACAAATCGCACACAGCTCTATGCTGAGATGGAACAGGAAAAATAATATGTGACAGTGAAATGAATTACATTTGAAAAAATCATTTCCAAAACCTGTTAAGCATAGAAACTGATTTGGAAATAGACAACAGTCCGTCACACCAAAGAAAGGATAGTGTCATGGAACCTATATCAATCAGTGAGGTTCAAAACGCAATCACTGCGTCAAAACATGGGAAGGCATCAGGGATTAATGACATATCATCGAAAGTATTAACGATAGAAGTATTCATTATCACCAATATTGATGTTAGAGCTTGGAACAAGATTTGTCCTAAACTTTGTTGATATTTAGCCCGACTCTTGCACACGCCTCCCGTATACGTTCAGCATCAGTTTAATCTCTCCAAGGCTATCCAAAATAAGGACTATATCGTCCTCGTAGCGCAAATTACTTACATAGGTATTGTCATCAATGTTTATACGTTTTTGGGTCCAATCCAGTTGTTTAAATGCACTCTCCAGGACTGTGATGAACAATTTGGATTCAACATTATATCGCCTTGTCTTACCTCACCCAATGGGTATTTGGTCAGTACTTTCATACAAGAAGAAGAAAAACAAATTTTATTCTGTACCCTCTACATAAAAAAAAAATAAGAATAACAATAAAAATATCTATATGTATATAAAACAAAAATAAAAAAGTTAAGGGGTGAGAATAGGGCTACCGACCAAGGTCTTTCTGCCCGTGATTTTTGTAGTCGGCGGCTTGCTTCAGTCTTCTCTGACGGCCAGGAGTTTTTGGAAGAGAAGAGGTGGGTTGTTGCGAGGGTGGAGTAATCGAGGCGATATAAGCGTGTGTTGCAAGGCGTTGGTAGGAAAATTTAGGATGGATTTATCGGACAAAGATTGAAGACGGGTATGGATAGGGGGGATATCGGTAAGTTGGTATAGCAGATCATTGCTAGGGTTAAAGAGGGGATTACGGGGGTTCCTAATTCGGGTGATGGATCTCAGTGCAGATCTTTCCGCTACTTCCAGGTGGTACTTCGTTCTTCTTGGTGCGTTGCTTAGCAGTATTGATCCNTCAGATTTTTTATTAGCCGATTTTATTCGAACGTTAGGGACTCCTCGTATGGGAGCTGTGGGGCGGTTCTTGCATTTTAGTGACCAGGCACTGTGTCCCTCCAGGCCGCAGGATTTACATTTCTCCGGTAGCTGTGAGGTGCATTTAGTGGTACTGTGTGGGCCGAGGCATTTTGAGCACTGCACTGTGGCAGTGCATTTGTCTGAGGTATGAGAAAATTCGTCGCATCTACTACACGGGATCGGCATTGGCGGTGGAGCGCGGCTTTCAAACACAGGAAAGTGGTTGTTTTTGAAGAATACTCCTGCTTGCAGAAGCTTTTGATAGGAGTCGACACACCCGGAAATTATCCTAATTTTATAGGTGGGCTTATCTGTGGCTTTAGAGATAATTCTTTTACAGTATCTGTGTGATATATTAAGCGAGTTCAGATGTTCGCTAATTTCTTGATCTGTAATTTCAAGATCAACGGAAGCAATAACTGCAGAGTATGAGGCCGATGGAATTTTTTTAATAGATGGTGTAAAATTTCTTGATTCAGAAAACTCTGAGATAATGTTTTGATTTTTTAGTAGATTTAAATTGATGGTTTGTTGTGGTTTGGAATTTTCCGATTTAATAATAAAGCCCTCTTTTGTTTTTATTATAATGTCACGTGGATTAAGTGAGTGTTTCGTCCAAATTTCGGACAACTGAATCCTGCTTAGCGGAAGACTTGTTTTTATGAAGAACACCGAGTTGTAGATTTTTGTCTGTTGTTGGTACGTAAGCGGGCGATCAGAGAACCGGTTAGCGGCTGGAGCACGTGGAGTTCGAAAAATTGTTGGTGTTTGCGGTGGATAATTTTTATTTTTAGGTGGATGCGGAACTTTAAATGCGGAATCACTGCCGCTAGTGTTTTGTTTTTTGTGAGGACGATCCGTGTGTGTGTATTTTTTCGGGCGGCCGCGTTTTTTGTTAGGGAGTCCGAACTCACCGTCCGGGTCCTGGTCGGATTCCGAGGCCGAAGCCCCCGAACCTTGCGTTTCCATAGTTGTGATCACACCCTCAAATACAGGAAAATTGTTCACGTAGGTAGTAAACTAAACTTTAATTAAATCACTGCTATTAAACACGCTAAAGCCGAGAAAAGCAAGAGCATGCGTGACTCGTGCAAATGTCTTGAGAAGACTGACTTTCATACAATTTTACCGTCTTTGTAGCATTCTTATAAATGTTATAAATAAGTTTGGTGTATCGATAATGGACTCTGCATTCTTGAAGTACTTGCAAAACTGCCATCAACTCAATTTAAATCAAATTTTATAAATACCTCTAAATATCCAACTTGGGTAAATACCCCCGGGTATATATCCAGGGAATTTTCCCTTGAAAATAAATACCTGGGTATTTAACAATACTGATTAAGGACATAAAAGAGAAAAGTGCGCATGCGTCACGTTACGACCGATTGTTTTAGCTTTAAGAAGTTAAAAGTTGGGCAGCTCTTGGGACTAGGACAAAAACCATTTTATTCGTAAGGTGTTGCATGAACAGTACTACTATAACACAATACCTTAACTTTTCACTCTTACGACTATGCCAACAACTACGACTAAAACACGTTGCAACCCACTATTAGATATCACTTTTGACGTTAAAATCTTCGTGTGAGGCAAAATAATCAAATTTGACAGTTAGAACTTGAATTGGTGGCAAAAATTAAGGTTGACATGTCATTTACAATGTCAAACTGTAAATTTAATCAAAGTTAATTAGACACATCTTGTAAATATTTTAGATCGAAAGCTCCGAATGAACAACCCATTCAACGAAAATTTCAAATCTCTACGAACAGTGGAACCTGAAAAAGTTCTAACGAACCAGTTACGTGAGACACCCTGTATAGTTTAATAAGAAAGGTAAATAAATATTAATCTGTCATCTGTCATTAAAATTTGAGGTTATGTAATTAATATAATTTATTATTAATGTCATTATTTATGTTAATGTTTTTAACATAAATATTTGGGAAAAATGAATTTATCATATAAAATAAAAAGTGAGGTTAAGTAAATTTTATAAATTTATTTAAAAAGTGATTTTATTTGATAAAAATCGCAAATAAATAACTAAAACAATGTTATATTAATCTACATTATTAAAAACATAATCTCAAAATGACTTTGTATTTAATATTTAACATTAATCCTAAACATTTATCTTCCAGATATCTTCGAATCATCCTCTTCGCCTAAAATCTCAACATTCCTCACCCCCGATTTTCTCAATTTTGGTACTGAAGTGGTTGAATCGACCAAGTTATCAGGAACGTTTAACGGCAAACCAGGATTAATCGCCAATTGCAACATTCTCAACAACAACATCTCGCGAACATCCGCCGGTAAGTAATCGGATTCTTCATCTTTTTGTTGTTGCGGTGTTAATAATCTTGCAACTCTTCGCGTGGGGGTATAAGAAGATTCGGATGTGACGTAATTATTATAACCGTAATCTAAATTTTGATTATAATTCGTTTTATAAACGGGACGTGTTTTTTGCCCGAACATATTTCGGTACTTCCGACTCAAAAAGCTAATCTGTTCTAATCGACTTTGTCTTAAAATTAATTGTTCCAGTAATTTTTGAAAATCCCTCGTGCTCACCGGGGGTTTTATCGAGTTAATAACTTCTTCGTTGTTGATGTAATCATCGATATCGTTGATTTTTTCGTAATTACGGTGATATTGTGGTTGCATTTCTCTTATGTAGCCGTTTTCGTCGACTCTTACGGGGATTGCTCGAAATTTTTGTTGTTCTGGGGGGTTTCGTTGAATCGGTTGGTATCTTTTTATGTAAAAATTATCGGATTCAATTTCGGGGATTTCCCTTAAAGGAACTAAAATTGTTCTTCCATCAGGTTGAGTTATCGCAACTAAAGTTTCTTCTTTCGTTGAAGGAATTTGAATTTGAGGGGTTGGTGTTGTGGTTATTTCTGGTTGATATTGATATTTAATCCCTTGAAGTGGGGTAATTGTTGATGAAATATATTTGGGTCTCGATGTGGTTGTAAATAAAGGTCTTTGGGGACTCCCCGTTGTTAAAGATGAAGTATAAACATCGATCATATCGCCACCACGATTTTGTTGGAACTCCATAACGTGGTCTTTTGGATTAAAAGAGTTTGATGGTTGGAGTTGCCTTCGAAGATTATTTTTTAAATTTTCATCTATTATTTTCCCCTCTTCATTTGAAATTGTTTTTTCTTTATCTAATAAAGTTGGGGGATAAATTGGAGGTTCCGTTGGGGGGATATTCGTATCTGGCCTAACAATTTGTCCTTCAGAAGATTTTTGGCTTAAAATAGGTCGTTGCAATAAAATCCTTGGATATTGATTCTCATATTTTATATTTTTCGAAGCCTCAACAGCCGATTTAATGAAATCATTAACTTTAGGAGACTCCGTTGTTGTTGTAGTTGTCGTTGTAACTCTTCTTTTTGCGATATTTTGACTTGAAGAAGTCGTTGGAGGAATCGTTGGAACATAAACTGGTCTTCTCGTCGTTGTTTTATTCAACTTTGGGATTCTTTGCACCACCGAAGATTCGGTTTTTAATTCGCTACTGTTATTTGAAGTGTACGAAACTCTTTTAATATCACCGTTTTCATCGATGTAACCATAAGTTCCTTTTACATTTCCCAAAACATCGCGGCTTTCGATTTTAAAAGAACCATCATCGGCTTCATATCCTATTGTGTATGAACCATCATCGTTTACTTTTTTAATTTGTTTAATTATTTCTAATTTACCATTTGCTTCAGCTATTTGGAGATCTTCTTGCTCTTCGCACGAAATGAAGATAAAAAAGGAGATAAACAATATAATCTACAAAATAAATTTGATTTAATTTATTCGGAAGATATTTGATATCGTTTAATTAATTTAACTCACCTTTCTTAAAATCATTTTAAATTATTTAACACATTAATCACTTTTTCACTTAATACTTTGTGTTGTTGTTGTTGTGGTTTAAACTGAACTGTCTTAGACAGAGCTCGAGTTATCTTCTTTATAATTTCTCCGAGTTGTGTTCCTCTTCTTCTTCGTTGTGCGGAAAAAACAGTTAAAGTAGGGATGGTCCTTGACTGGATTTAAAATCTCACGATCTCTTGGATGCATGCTTCAATTGTGGAGGCAGTGAAAGTGTTTAAACGATTTGAGAGATCTTCAAGACCTTAGATTTAAAAGCAATTAGAGGAGCGGATCGTGACCTTGAATGAGGTGTTGTTTTTGTTGTAAATTATAAATAATAGCAAATAGTTTGTTTATTAAGGAACGATTTATACCTTAAATTGTTTAAAATTAATGAACAATTTTCGCTGATTAAGTTTTAAAAATTCGTATAAAATCCACTTCTTTGAATATAAACATGAAAATTTCTCAAAGTGTTAATAAAGGTGTCCTCTTTCCAATGCACCAATCCGTTTTGAAAAATAACTTTTAGTTTTTGAGAAAACAATATTTGAAGAATGATAAAATTTTCGATGTTGCAATTTTCATCGATAATTTTCAAAATTCGCTATAAAATTAATTTCTTGAAGGATCCTTGTGGAAATATCACCAATTATTAATTAAAGTATCCTCTTTTTAATGCAAAAAGCCGTTTTGAAAAATCACTTTTAGTTCTTGAGAAATAAATTTTTGAAATGATCGACAATTTTTTCGAATTTTGCAATTTTCGCCGATTAAGTTTTAAAAATTCGTATAAAATCCATTTCTTGGAATATGAGTATGAAAATTTCCCAAAGTGTTAATAAAAGTGTCCTCTTTCCAATGAACCAACCCGTTTTGAAAAATAACTTTTAGTTTTTGAGAAAACAATATTTGAAGTTTTGATAAAATTTTCGATGTTGCAATTTTCATCGATAATTTTCAAAATTCGCTATAAAATTAATTTCTAGAAGAATTCTTGTGAAAATTTCACCAATTATTAATTAAAGTATCCTCTTTTTAATGCAAAAAGCCGTTTTGAAAAATCGCTTTTAGTTTTTGAGAAATAAATTTTTGAATCTGAATTTTGCAATTTTCGCCGATTAAGATTTAAAAATTCGAATAATATCCACTTTTTTGAATATAAGCATGAAAATTTACCAAAGTGTTAATAAAAGTGTCCCCTTTCCAATGAACCAACGCGTTTTGAAAAATAACTTTTAGTTTTTGAGAAAACAATATTTGAAGTTTTGATAAAATTTTCGATGTTGCAATTTTCATCGATAATTTTCAAAATTCGCTATAAAATTAATTTCTTGAAGGATCCTTGTGGAAATATCACCAATTATTAACTAAAGTATCCTCTTTTTAATGCAACAAGCCGTTTTGAAAAATCGCTTTTAGTTTTTGAGAAATAAATTTTTGAATTTGAACTTTGCAATTATCGTCAATTAAGTTTTAAAAATTCGTATAAAATCGATTTCTTGAAATGTGAGTATGAAAATTTCCCAAAGCGTTAATAAAAGTGTCCTCTTTCCAATGAACCAACCCGTTTTGAAAAATAACTTTTAGTTTTTGAGAAAACAGTATTTCAAGTATTGATAAAATTTTCAATGTTGGAATTTTCATCGATAGTTTTCAAAATTCGCTATAAAATTAATTTCTTGAAGGATCCTTGTGGAAATATCACCAATTATGAATTAAAGTATCCTCTTTTTAATGCCAAAAGCCGTTTTGAAAAATCGCTTTTAGTTTTTGAGAAATAAATTTTCGAATTCGAATTTTGCAATTTTCGCCGATTAAGATTCAAAAATTCGTCTAAAATCAATTTCTTGGAATATGAGTAAGAAAATTTCCCAAAGTGTTAATAAAAGTGTCCTCTTTCCAATGAAGTAACCCGTTTTGAAAAATATCTTTTAGTTTTTGAGAAAACAATATTTGAAGTTTTCATCGATAATTTTCAAAATTCGCTATAAAATTAATTTCTTTGCAGGATCCTTGTGGAAATATCACCAATTATTAATTAAAGTATCCTCTTTTTAATGCAACAAGCCGTTTTGAAAAATCCCTTTTAGTTTTCGAGAAATAAATTTTTGAATTCGAATTTTGCAATTTTCGCCGATTAAGTTTTGAAAATTCGTATAAAATCCATTTTTTGGAATATGAGTATGAAAATTTCCCAAAGTGTTAATAAAAGTGTCCTCTTTCTAATAAACCAACCCGTTTTGAAAAATATCTTTTAGTTTTTGAGAAAACAATATTCAAAGTTTAGATAAAATTTTCGATCTTGCAATTTTCATCGATAATTTTCAAAATTCGCTATAAAATTAATTTCCTGAAGGATCCTTGTGGAAATATCACCACTTATTAATTAAAGTATCCTCTTTTTAATGCAAAAAGCCGTTTTGAAAAATCGCTTTTAGTTTTTGAGAAATAAATTTTTGAATTCTAATTTTGCAATTTTCGCCGCTTAAGTTTTAAGAATTCGTATAAAATCCACTTCTTGGAATATGAGTATGGAAATTTCCTAAAGTGTTAATAAAACTGTCCTCTTTCCAATGAACCAACCCATTTTGAAAAATAACTTTTAGTTTTTGAGAAAACAATATTTGAAGTTTTGATATAATTTTCGATATTGCAATTTTCATCGATAATGTTCAAAATTCGCTGTAAAATTAATTTTTTGAAGGATTCTTGTGGAAATATCACCAATTATTAATTAAAGTATCCTCTTTTTAATGCAACAAGCCGTTTTGAAAAATCGCTTTTAGTTCTTGAGAAATAAATTTTTGAAATGATGCACATTTTTTTCGAATTTTGAAAAATAACTTTTAGTAGTAGTAGTGAAAGTATTTATTCCGGAATTACAATTATTATACAAACATTATTTACAATTAATCCTCCTGCCCTTGTTGAACTCTAATCCATATAATAATTACAATTTACTTCATATCCTTCAACAAATAACTAATTGACATTCGGTAAAGGGTTGTTATCCGAAAGAAATAACGATGTGAGACTGTGGTTTTCAGTTATTTTTAAATTGCTGTTATTAGCAAGTGCAACTATTCGGTCTGTAATTGGTGTTATTTTACATTTCTCAAAAAGAAGTTGATTCGATGGGTTATAAAGTGGATTTCTAGGGTTTCTTAGTTTTGTTATGCATCTTAAACACGTTCCCTCGGCAACTTCAAGATTTCGTCTGGCTTGATTTCCTACGTCGCACAAAATTGATGCTCCATAATCCAAAATCGGTCTGCAGATGGTTTTATAAACGTGGACTGCGCATTTAAAACTGATGCCTCTGTTTTTATATGTTAAACATCTAAAATATTTCGCCCTAGCGTTAGATTTCATTTTAGATTTTTTAGTGTGAATATTAAATTTTAATTTGTTATCTAGATCAATCCCTAAATATTTGCACACCTTAATTGGAGTAATCAACATATTAGCTATCGATATTTTAGGTGATCTATCAGATATTCTATGGAATGGTAATAATAACTGTGTTTTTTTGTTTATTAATTTGAATACAACACGTCCTATACCAGCTTTCTATTTTTTCCGTCAGATTTTGAAGTAACTTTTAGTTTTTGAGAAAATAATATTTGAAGTTTTGATAAAATTCATCGATAACTTTCAAAATTCGCTATAAAATTAATTTCTTGAAGGATCCTTGTGGAAATATCACCAATTATTAATTAAAGTATCCTCTTTTTAATGCAAAAAGCCGTTTTGAAAAATCGCTTTTAGTTCTTGAGAAATAAATTTTTGAAATGATCGACAATTTTTTCGAAATTTGCAATTTTCGCCGATTAAGTTTTAAAAATTCGTATAAAATCCATTTCTTGGAATATGAGTATGAAAATTTCCCAAAGTGTTAATAAAAGTGTCCTCTTTCCAATGAACCAACCCGTTTTGAAAAATAACTTTTAGTTTTTGAGAAAACAATATTCGAAGTTTTGATAAAATTTTCGAGGTTGCAATTTTCATCGATAACTTTCAAAATTCGCTATAAAATTCATTTCTTGAGGGATCCTTGTGGAAATATCACTAATTATTAATTAAAGTATTCTCGTTTTAATGCAAAAAGCCGTTTTGAAAAATCGCTTTTAGTTTTTGAGAAATAAATTTTTGACTTTGAACTTTGCAACTTTCGCCCATTAAGTTTTAAAAATTCGTATAAAATCCACTTCTTTGAAAATAAGTATGAAAATTTCCCAAAGTGTTAATAAAAGTGTCCTCTTTCCAATGAACCAACCCGTCTTGAAAAATATCGTTTAGTTTTTGAGAAAACAATATTCGAAGTTTTGATAAAGTTTTCTATCTTGCAATTTTCATCGATAATTTTCAAAATTCGCTATAAAATTAATTTCCTGAAGGATCCTTGTGGAAATATCACCAATTATTAATTAAAGTATTCTCTTTTTAATGCAAAAAGCCGTTTTGAAAAATCGCTTTTATTTTTTGAGAAATAAATGTTTCTTAAAAGAAATAAATTTCTTAACAAGACCTTCCATATTTTTACACCTTTTTTTAAAACCATTGACAAAAAAAATAATAAAAAGTAAAATTTTTCACATGATGTTGGCAAAGACTTCATTAAGAACTAAGGAACCCCACTTCTAAGTCAAAAAAATGGGTAATTACGGTTTGGGAAATGAGATAAACGTCGGCAGTAAAGTTTTTTTGCATAATGTAAAAAGGTTTTAGGCGGGGAATCGTAATTTTCTGTTGCAAGCAAAAGAACATTGTACCAAGCAGTATTGTTAAGTTGGTGAGAAACGGCCTCAAAAACTCAATATATACAAAACGGTCCTTGCAAATTTCGTTTTTAATTCGTTTCGAAACACTCATTTAAGAATTAAAACGAGTCTCTTGCGATTAAAAGAGAAATTTTAAACGCGGATGTTGTTGAAGAGGAAAAATGATCGGTTACGTTGTCGCTTTAATTTTATGATTTTAGAAAATCGCAAGATGTTTCCATATCTTTATGTAATTCAATTTATTTAGTTTCTGGATAATCACAAGTTTTCATAATTCTTATTTCATTGTTCACCCACAATTACGCCTTGCATAATTCGGTTGTAGTTGGTAAGTAGGACGAAAAAAACGACAAAAAAGAGGTAAATGAGGACATACCATACAAAAATTGCGAATGTATGGGAAAAGATTTGCAAAAACCGAAAATAATTAGCTGTTTATAACCAAAATTTGTTGCATTTTGTATTATTTATCTAGTTGTGCATTAAAATTGCACAAACAGGCCGTTAATTTCCGGAAGTTGCTAACATTAAATGCATGCTTCGAAGATTTTTTAAACGACAAGACAAATGGGAGATGATGTAATCCTTGTTTATTCTAGATGTCTTTAAGACGCAGTTTTAAAAAATAAAATCGTTAATCAATTAACGCTTTTTTATTATTATAGGAAGATTTATTTTACTAAATAATATGTTGTTTAATAAATAATAATTAATTGAAGCAGCTAAAAGCGAATTTTGGTTTAAATAGTATAGGCAACTTTAATTACATTTTAGTATACTTGGTGGTTGATTTAATAATTTAAATTTCTAAATTTAATCGAATTTGTTTAATTAATTAAAAATAACTTTTATTTCAAAAAAAATAGATTAAAATAATAATCCTTAGACGTTAATAATAAAAAAAATCATAAAAAATTATTTAATTTTTAGGTTAGAAAATTGGCGGAGGCGCCGGTAAAATTTAATTCATAAAATTAATTTAAACAATTTTTTATAGTTTAAATAACATAATGAGTGTTCATCGGACTTTGGATAAAGTTAAGATATAATTTTTTTTATAATAATTTTATTTTTATTATTAATTTTAAGTGGTTGGTAATGCTGAAGAGATATAACCTCACTTTTTATATGTTAATGTCAAAGTGTTGTTTATAGAGAATTTCTTTTCAAATTTATGTAATGATGTAAAAAATAATGCCTTTGAAACATATTTCGAAGATATATTGAGGTAAATATTATGATAGATAATTTTGTAATAACCTATAATTAATTTTTACTAAAAAAATTTTTTGTTACAGGTTTTTATGGTATAATCGGAACACTTTCTTAAACCACTTCATTATCGACGAACTGGAAAATTGTTTCAAGAAAATAAACTTATTACATACTCAAGAGATAATGCTGGAGGAAACTACGAAAAATATAAGGTAATAAACCAAAAATTTATTTTTAAACAAAATACATTTTAAAAGTTAATTGTAATCACAACGAATTACAGTATGCTTTAATTTTGCTTGTTTATTAAAGATTTATTAAAAAATAACAATTTAAGACAGTTTAAAAATTAAAAAATAATATAGGCAACTTATATTACAGATTTGCTATCTTGGTTGCATATCCTTTTAACTCTACTTTTTTACATTAATTTTTTTTTATCTAATCTTTATTTTAAATGATTTTTCTTTTTATGTATATGAAAGTTTGAATCTTAAAACGCAGCGAGCGTAACGTGTATTAGAAAAAAACCTCTTCCTAAGAACGAAGAATTGACTTTAAACGGCCACTTTCTTCGTTTCGGTTCCTGCTCATTCATTTGAACCATTCTCGGTTTTAATCGGACCTCGACCTCTCTATACATAGAGTGAAATCCGAATCGATTTCCTGTCGGTTTTATTTTTGATGCTACGTAAGGTATTCGTTGTAATACGAGTTCAAAGGTATTTCGTGATTGACTCAATGATTTTTATTTAGTTATTAAGTTGGTTTTAGTGAAATAAAGGATTATTTACCTACTCAAGACTTCTATTACACATAACTTACATAAAATGGAACACAATATCCTCTACCTTTTAGTTGCTTTCGAATAATAAATTTTTACGTGAGAAATATGTGAAAGTTTTGATCGCTATTTGGAGATAATTGTAGATATTTTCGTATGATCGATAATTTGTACCCTGTACAGGGCAATTTTATCTTTAAACAATATATTGGGCGTGAAATACAATATAAATAACCTATTGTATTTAAAATAGACAAGAAATAAATCGAGGAATTTAAGTTAATACTGTAAAATTTCGATATAACGGACTTAAGATATACTACTTAGTGAATGTTGAAGAAGAAATTTGTCGAAATTGTTGATGCAGATCTAAGTACTAGTATTCGTCAAATTTCTTACCAACTCGAAGTTTCCCAGAACTTTGTTTGGCGTACATTGAAAACTCATAGTTTGTATCCCTACCATTTCCAAAAAGTGCAAGGACTGACTCCCGCTGATTATCCTTTGCGGTTGCAATTTTGCGAGTCTCTACTAAATCGTATCAACAGAGAAGCAGATTTTGCGACCAGTATACTGATAGCGGATGAATGCTGCTTTACCAGACATTTAATGGTGTTCTAAATTTTCCAAATTACCATGTGTGGTTGGACGAAAATCCACAACAGCGATTCAAAGATTTAATGGAAATTCTTATTTACAGTTTTTACAAGAAAGTCTGCCAGAACTCCATATATAATAGATAACATATAGATAACAAAACTACTGAAACCATAAATTGTCTGGTTTTACAGCTCCTTCAAAAAAGAGGATGGCAAGTGAGATGACAAGTATTTTAATTGTTCTTTATTGAATATCAGCGGTTCTCAAAAATGGACGTTAATTTATTTAAAAAATTAACATGCGATATCTTAAGTTTTGAACAAACGTTATTAAGAAAATCTCTTCACTTTGACCCCTAGTACCTACCTTTTAATCTGCTCCGTATGTTATAAAGCACCCTATATTATACAGTGCTTCCCAAAAGTAACGGAAAAATTCGTTAAAACAATTAAAAACGGTTTATAGAAAAATCGCTGAGGATTTAAATTTTTTCGCCATTTTTAAACTAGTTATGACAGCATTGATATTTTTTTCAAATAGCAACCAGGATATTTTTCTGAATTTGGTACAGGCAAAATTAATATTAGTTACATAACAAAATTTTCGAGAAAAATTGCCTTAAAGTTTCATGATTTTCCATTCATTTAAGGTAGAAAAATAGCGGTAGCAACGCGTAACCATGGCAACCGGTTGGTTTAGATATTTTATTAAGACAATGATTAATTTTTGATATCTGAAACAATTGGTTGGCATGGTTACGTATAGCTACTGCTATTTTTCTATCTGAAATGAATGGAAAATCATAAAACTTTAAGATAATTTATCTCGAAAATTTTCTTATGTAACCAATATTAATATTGACTGTACTAGATTCAAAAAAAAGGCATCTTTCATGTTCCGTAATAGAAATGGAGCATTGCTATTTGAAAAAAATATCGATGACGTCATTACTCGTTTAAAAATTGCGGAAAAATTTTAAAATTTATACCAAACAATTCCAAAAAATGTAAATCTTTAGACCCGTCTCACCGATTATGCCATAAACTGTTTTTAATGGTTTTAACGAATTTATCCGTTTCTTTTGGGAAATCCTGTATATACCGGGTGTTTCATTTAAAATGACATATAAAAAAAGTTTCAAGTAACATTTTTTTATATTTAATACCCAATACTGATTAATGTTTTTTATTCTCTTTTTTCTTTTTTGAGATAAATGCGTCATGAAAGAACACCATGAAGTTGTCCATTAGTCTATTATATGATAACTAACTTCTGGTTAAGAATGTCAACGTCAATTTTGACATATTTGTAATCGTTATGAAAAATCCTTTAAAATGAGTACAAACATGACATATTTATCTTTAATATTAATGAAGTTATAGTCAACTTCCGGTTGGAAATGTCAATGTCATTTTGATATCTTCTTAGTTTTATAAAATGTCTTAAGATTTGTCACAAAAACAAAAATATAATAAAAAAATTCAGAAATTAAGGTTGGCATTGATATTTAAAAATTAAATTGCTATCTTCATTGTTGCTAACTTTGGGTTTAATATTTTTTATTCCAACTTTTTTGTTTTTTGAGATAAGTGCGCCATGTTTGGACTCATTTTAAAGGTTATTTTATAAACATTACGAATATAATAATAAAATTGAAGTTGACATTATCACCACAAAGTTTTTTTTCTTAGTCCTGCGTCGAAACTCTTTCAAAAAACATCAAAATTATTTTTTTGGCGCACGGCTAAACACGAATATTTCTAGATCTAGTGGTAGTTCTAGTTTTTGTGCAATAAAAATATATAACATAATAATATCTTATGCTAACTAGCGCTACATATCACTGCCATTAGATCTAACACAAGACCTAGAACTAGAATCGATAGTGCTAGTGTAAAAAAAGAACTAACACTAGACCTAGAACTAAAAACATTCAAGGTTAATGTTTTTTATTCTCTTTTTTGTTTTTTGAGATAAATACATCATGTTTGGAAAGAATACATCATCAAAGAACACCATGAAGTTGTCCATTTGTCTATTATATGATAACTAACTTCATGTTTAAAATGTTAATCTCAATTTTGACATATTTGTAATCTTCATTAAGATTAGACCGAAAACTAAAAACATTCGAAATTAGCCCTATGTCTCTCAAACCCCAATGATTCTAGTTCTAGGTCTTGTGTTAGTTCTAGTTTTACTGCAATAAAAAAATGCAACATAGTGACACCTTATGTTAACTAGCGCAACCTACCACTGTCGTGTTTACACAAACCCAACATTCGGGTTTAACTCAACCCGGAATTTCCAACCCACCCTCTGCTCCATGCCCAACCCGACATTTGAGAAATTCGCACTGGTTTAAATGTTAATTAACCTAACTCAAAGTGAAATTTCTACACAAAATTCTGAAATATATCAGTAAATTAGGTAGATCCGAATGTCACGTATAAATAGGGGGGGCCCTACTCCCTTCTAAAAAAATATGTCACACCTGAGTGACAAAGAATAGAGTGTTGCAGGAGCAATTTTTAAATCTGTAATCGAAAGGACACAGAAAGATATCACTCAACAGAAGAATAGTTTCAGTAAATAGTCTTTAGCCAGTAGTATTGTAATCTCCAAGCACTTAGTAGTGTTTTGGCAGCAGTATATAGTCTTCTGAAAGCATTAAATAGTCTTTCCAACAATATTTAGCATTCTGAAGGTAGTTAATAGTCTTTTGGATACAGTATCTTGTCTTTCCAAGCAGATAATAGTTTCTCCCAGCAGTATTTACTCTTCTCTAAGCAGGTCGTTATCTTTTCTAGTAGTATATAGCGCTTTGAAAACAGTAAGTAGTCTTATGGAAGCAGTATCTCGTCTTTCCAATCAGTTTGTAGTTGTTTGCTAACACTATCTAGTCTTCTCCAGGTAGATTGTAATCTTTTCCACCAGTATCTAACATTTTGGAGGCAGTAGATACCTTTTTTGGAGAGCATATCTCTTCTTTCCAAGAATTATTAGTCTTTTCCAGTAGTATCTAACATTGTGAAAGCAGTAGGTAGCTTTTTGGAAAGCATATCTCTTTTTCAAACAATTATTAATGTCTTTGAGAGCAATAAGTGGTTCCAAGACCAGTAGCCGTAGCAGTATTCCGCCTGTCCAAGTAGGTCAAAATCGTTAATAGCAGTGTTTAGCGTTCTGGATGCAATAGGTATTATTTTGAAAACAGTATCTAGTCTTTTCCAAGTAAGTTGTGGTCTTTTTCTGCAATATCTAGGATTTTAGAAACATTAGGTAATTTTTTGATACAGTATTTCTTTTTACAAAGCAGTTTTTAGTCTTTTACTGGCAGTATTTAATCTTGTGATAGCAATCATTAGTCTTTTGCCAACAGTATCTAGCATTCAGGAACTTGTAAGTTAAAGATGTCACAAAAGTGACATCACGTTGAAACTTTAAAGTGATTTTTCGGTAAGTTTTACACTCTTCCGCACTTTTTTTTGAGAATATATCAATATGACATTGACATTTCAAACCGGAAGTTGCTTATATCTTGAGTAATATTGGAATTAAACGTATCATGTTTGGGCTCATTTTAAAGGATTTTTCACGACGATTACAAATATGTCAAAATTGAGGTTGACATTTCTAACCGGAAGTTAACCATAACTTCCGCGCTATATTAATGAAGTTAACCATAACTTCATTAATATAGCGCTAGTTAGCATAAGATATCACTATGTTGCATATTTTTATTGCACTAAAACTAGAACTAACACTAGACCTAGAACTAGAAACCCGATACTTTCTAGTTCTAGGTCTAGTGTTAGTTCTAGTTTTAATTGTTATTCAACGCTGGCCGTTCACGAATATTCCCGGAATATAGCAAACCTCTTAGATCCTCTTAGTTCTTGGTATAAATATAAAGTCAGGAAGCCTGAACGCAACGATCTGGATTTCAGTCCGAATTTGTTTGCATTAAAATATTCTTTTGGCTATAATGGACACTCCCTTCCCCATATTAATCTGTCATATCAAGGTTTTATTATAATAAAATAAAACCAATTTTTTATATACACAATTTTATTTATTACAAAAATAATAAAAATAAAAAATAAAATACGGATTACATAAAATAATACTTAAATCGATTATCGTCGATTATTAAAAAATAGAAAGAACAGGGTAACCATTTTTTTTTTCAAAATTATCTTAAAATAACTGTTTTATTTATTTTTATTCATTTTAATTTATTATTAAATTTATCGATAATTTCATTTTATATACAATGTCGTACATCGTAATCGTTCGTAAAAAAATTTTTTTAACGTTCGTAATTACCACGCATAATTCCGCTTCTTTTCATACATTCCTCGTCGTACAAGAAAGTGAAGTGAATAGAAAATTGCGCAACACATCGGGCGTGTCTCACTCTCTTTGAAATTACTTTCACTCTTAAGAAGTGTATTATTTACACATTGTTTTTACTTTTTACCATCTAATTTTCAACCTAACGATGATAATAACATGTTATTTATTTATTTATTTATTTTTTTTTTATTTCGTCACACAACATTTAAAAAAATCGATAATTCGTCTTTGTTTTTCTAATTAAAAAAAAAAAATTATCGCTCAATAAGAATAAATTTAATAAAATAACTTAAAACTGTATATTATGACCCCTTAAAAACGCATCTATTTGTCCACCTGTATAAGATGGTTGAGGTTGGACGTAATAAAATTGTTGCGGCGAAGTTTGTTGTTGAGTTTGCGTCGGTTGACTTTGCGGTTGTTGAGATTGTTGTTGTTGTCGAGCTTTTTGTTGTTGCGCGTATAATTGGGCTGAATTTTGAAATTGTAACTCAGCTTGTTGTTGTTGATACAAAGCTTGACTCGGTTGCTGCTGTTGATGTTGTTGTTGTTGTTGTTGTTGTTGTCTCCCCCCACTTTGACTTGATCCCCTATACAAAGGACTTTGAGATTGTAATTGTTGGAAATTCAATAATTGTTGTTGCGGGGTAAACACGTAAGGTTGAATTTTTTGATTTAACGTAAAATCGCCGTCGGTTTGAGGCAAAGCTTGATACAACTGCGTGTTATATTGACCTGATTTTGGATCATAAACTAAAGCTGAGGAATAAACTTGACCTGAATTCGATAGAGTTGGATTCGCTTTCGGCGTTGATAAAGTTGCGGCTTTAGTAACAGCTTTTGGTACACTCGTTGGAGTTGACGAAACGATGGTATTTTCTTGTTGGAATTTTTGGAATTCGGCGTCAAAATCTAAATTTCCTCTTGATCCCGCCGACGAAGAGGTATAAGATGGATATGATGGCGTGTAAGATGATGAATAACTCGGTGAAGGGGTTGTTATGTAACTCGGTCTTGTCGCGTAAGCAGATAACGGTTTTGTAAATAACAACGGTGATTTAGGTGTTACACTTAATTGAAGAGTTTGCGGTCTGTAAGTTGTTACAGGTTCCGGTCTTGGAGTTGGTCTCGGAGTTATGCTAATTGGAGTTATTGTATTCTTGTAAATTAACGAGGAAGGCGTCGTTGATGGGATGCTTAAATATTTAGGTGTTTGATATCGAGGAGCTTCCGTTTGTGGTTGTTCAACGTATTGTGGTCTTGGGATGTAAATCGTTGTTGATGGTCTAGACCTGATTGGCTATTTAAAAAGAAATATTAATTTAAAATAAATTTGAATGTTGTAACTAGTGATGGAACGAATTTTTAAAACTTAGGGCCGGTTTATCAATATCTAGTTAAGACGATTTATCTGTCAATTAAAATTGTAGCTGATAGATAACGTCGACGAATCGTTTATCCACCCGTAGTTTAGGGTAATCTTATAGATAAATATGACATTTGGATACCCACCAGATTGAAGTACTGGTTAAGGGTTTACCTATTAGATATTGTCAAAAAATGTGAGCACAAGTTTGGTTGCTTGGTGAAAGGAATTGACAATAAAATTAAAATATAACGTCAAAAATAAATTAAGCTTATAATTGTGGTAATGGATAAGCAAGAGATAGAAAAGATCATCAAATTTTAGTACAGCAGAAAAGAACTTGCTGATGGATTTGGCAAAAAAACGTGGTCGTCCAACTCCTCAAAGTGGTTTTGACTTTTGTCTTTCTTTTTTAATATATGGTCGTCGTTTATAATTTAAGAGTTGGACAATATCCTCATCTTTATCGCTGTCTAATAAATATTCATGTAGGAATTCCATTATAAAAGAGGTTTTCGAAAACAAAGCACAATACCAAAAGCACACGGGAATGATAACCTCCAAAACATCAGCTGTTTATATCAACTTCATAAACTAAAGTCAATTATTCAAATTTCACCAATTACGTTTCATTTCCGTTTCTATTGTTAACACTCAGGGGTACCATCTATGTTCTATTTCGTAGGTTGCTGCCTGTCGGGTAGAAAGTTGCTGGATAAACGGTTCACTGAGGTTATCTGTTAGGCAAGTTTATCCTTGAGTTGGCCCTTAATCGGCGAAAATTGGAAAAAATTGTCGATTATATCTCAAAAACTGAAAGTGATTTTTCAAAACGGCTTGTTGCATTAAAAAGAGGATATTTTAATTAATAATTGGTGATATTTCCACAAGGATCTTTCAAGAAATGAATTTTATAGCGAATTTTGAAAATTAAATTATTATTTTATCAAAACTTCAAATATTGTTTTCTCAAAAACTAAAAGTTATTTTTCAAAACGGGTTGGTTCATTGGAAAGAGGACAGTTTTATTGACACTTTGGGAAATTTTCATACTCATATTCCAAGAAATGGATTTTTTACGAATTTTTAAAACTTAATCGGCGAAAATGGCAAAATTCGAAATATTTCAAAAATTTGTTTCTCAAGAACTAAAAGTGATTTTCCAAAACGGCTTTTTGCATTAAAAAGAGGATACTTTAATTAATAATTGGTGATATTTCCACAAAGATCCTTCAAGAAATTAATTTTATAAAAGTTGAAGTTTGAAAATTATCGATGAAAATTGCAACATTGAAAATGTTATCAAAACTTCAAATATTATTTTCTCAAAAACTAAAAGTTATTTTTCAAAACGGGTTGGTTCATTGGAAAGAGGACACTTTTATTAACNAGCCCACTACGGGTTGGTTGCCCGCACTCTACGTCACACTATTTGCCACGCCCTGTTAACTGTCATTAAGTACTATGCGTTTGCTGTGTGTTTTTAGAGATTTAGAGGTTACATGATAGACATTAATACGTCTAAAAAAATAAAACTTCAAAAATAATATGAATACGTCTACGATATAACCTCTAAAACCACAGCAAACGGATAGAGCTGGGCGTGGAAAATGGTATGACGTAGTTTGCGGGCAGGTTGTCACAACAATGGATGTAGCAGTCCTGTTAGATTCTACTGTCCTTGGTATAAGGAGATAAAACGAGCGTACAAAAGTGGTGGGGGATTTGCTCCAAAATAGGGCGAACTTAATTCAGAGTTATACCTTGTGGCTCTGACGGCAGCGCCCCTTGTGTTAAAACTGCAAACTAAAATTAAATATACTTTTTAGGTTATAGTTGCTTGCAATTTGTTCTGACAGATCAGCTGATTTTTGCTGGCACCAATTCTATATTATAGGAGTAATAAAAATTATAATAATATTGATTAATATTACTATAATTAATTATTATCTAATATTGAGTTGTAAAAATGATGTGTAATAATGATTAATGTAATGGACTGCAAAGGAAAAAATAACCGACCTAACCTAAACAGATTAATTTTTGATAGTTTACAGTTTTGCCACCGGGGCGCTGTCGTCAGAGCCACAAGGGAAAACTATGAATTAGATTCGCCCTATTCTGGAACACAGTCGCCTACTGCCGTTTTATCTCCTTATACTACTTCGTGGCTATAACATTTACTTTAAATATAATAATCTGCCGGTAGAAATTAAAACTAAGTGTGTAGTGGCGTTCAGACGTGCTGATTTCCTCGTGCTCTTCAATGAGTAATAATTGAGCTACTTTATCGCGTGGACCTCCCTTGCTATGAGTCCTTTTTGAATTGAATTGTTGTGATGTTATGGAATTGATACGGAATTTTTTTTCTTTTTCTTGCGGAATTAATTAGGCTTAAGTAGGTTTTTAGTAATAGTTTTAGGGCATTTTTCTACTGTTACTGTTAGTTTCTGTTTAATTTTTTTAAGTTGCAAAGTTTAGTGTAAGAACTGGAAGTGTCATTGGCACTCATCTGAACTGCACTTTGAGGTTCTCCAATAATTAAGTATTTAGTTATTTGATAGGTTGTGTTATAATAATATATGGATTATTTGTATTATTTCATTGAAGAATAAAGGTGATTTTTATTATTAAATTGCAACATCGAAAATTTTATCAAAACTTCAAATATTGTTTTCTCAAAAACTAAAAGTTATTTTTCAAAACGGGTTGGTTCATTGGAAAGAGGACACTCTTATTAACACTTTGGGAAATTTTCATACTCATTTTCCAAGAAATCGATTTTATACGAATTTTTAAAACTTAACGAAAATTGCAAATTTCGAAAAAATTGTCGATTATTTCAAAAATTTATTTCTCAACAACTAAAAGCGATGTTTCAAAACGACTTTTTGCATTAAAAAGAGGATACTTTAATTAATAATTGGTGATATTTCCACGAGGATCCTTTAAGAAATTAATTTTATAGCGAATTTTAAAAATTATAATAAATATAATTTTGACAATTATCCAATCTCATAAATTATTGGTTTTGAACTGGTTTAACATGAAAAATCGTTGTATTCTGAGCTCCCTGCTTCTCTTCCATCGGTTATTGCGCACAGGAGAACCGTGTTATCTATTCAAGAAAGTGAGGTTTAGGGGTGATATCCACTCTATTAACATTAGAAATAGAAACTTGATAGCTCCTCCAGCTCATAGGACAGCTTTGTTTGAGAGATCTTTTTACTATAACCACGAAGTAGTATAAGGACAAGGACAGTAGAATCTAACAGGACTGCTACATGCATTGTATTTTTGTAGCCCACTACGGGTTGGTTGCCCGCACTCTACGTCACACTATTTGTCACGCCCTGTTAACTGTCATTAAGTACTATGCGTTTGCTGTGTGTTTTTAGAGATTTAGAGGTTACATGATAGACATTAATACGTCTAAAAAAATAAAACTTCAAAAATAATATGAATACGTCTACGATATAACCTCTAAAACCACANTCCACAAGGATCCTTCAAGAAATTAATTTTATAGCGAATTTTGAAAATTATAATAAATATAATTTTGAGAATTTTATTATCGAATCTCACATAAATTATTGATTTTGAACTGGCTTAACATGAAAAATCGTATTCTGAGCACCCTGATTCTCTTCCATCGGTTATTCCGCACAAAAGAACCGTGTTATCTATTCAAAAAAGTGAGGTTTAGGGGTGATATTCACTTTATTAACATTAGAAATAGAAACTTGATAGCTCCTCCAGTCCATAGGACAGCTTTGTTTGAGAGATCTTTTAGGTATAACTTTTACTTTAAATATAATAACCTGCCGGTAAGAATTAAAACTAAGGGTGTAGTGGCGTTCAAACGTGCTGTTTTTCTCTTGCTCTTCAATGAGTAATAATTGAGCTACTTTATGGCGTTGACTTCCCTTGCAATTAATTCTTTTTGAATTGAATTGTTATGATGTTATGAAATTGAAACGGAATTTTTTTTCTTTTTCTTGCAGAATTAATTAGGCTTAAGTAGGTTTTTAGTAATAGTTTTAGGGCATTATTTCTACTGTTACTTTTAGTTTCTGTTCATTTTCTTTTTATTTGCTTAATTTTTTTTATATCTTTTTAATTTGCAAAGTTTAGTGTAAGAACAGGAAGTGTCATTGGCATTCATCTGAACTGCACTTTGAGGTTCTCCAATAATTAAGTATTTAGTTATTTGATAGGTTGTATTATAATAACATATGGATTATTTGTATTATTTCATTGGAGAATAAAGGCGATTATTATTATTATTATTATTAAATTGCAACATCGAAAATTTCATCAAAACTTCAAATATTGTTTTCTCAAGAACTAAAAGTTATTTTTCAAAACGGGTTGGTTCATTGGAAAGAGGACAAAATTGACGATTATTTCAAAAATTTATTTCTCAAGAACTAAAAGTGATTTTTGCATTAAAAAGAGGTTACTTTAATTAATAATCCAAGTTAATGATAACAGAGACNTAACGTTCAATTCATTGTTGTTGTTTCGCTCGTAACAATTAAGCGATTCTAATGATTGCTTAACAACATAATCAAAATTGAGTTTATCTCTAAGAACTAGGTGTAGATTTCGATATTTTAAAATCTGGTTTGGGATAATTATTTTTCCAATATGATATTAACACCATCAAGATTATTTTCTTTGATAAAGATTCTTAAATGATAAAAGTAGGTATATTAAAAAAAGCTAACGTTTAAGGTTTAAGAGTTGGTAATGTACCCTCACTACTACTACTAACAGTACGGTTATGACCCCAAGCTAACGTATCTATACCATCATCTTTAATAAACCTCTTGGCATCGTATGGTGAAAGAAGCAATTTATTTTGTAATACCGTCTATACGGTGTGATTACAACTTCTAAATAAGATTTGTTTTGCAAACATAGTGTTTTTCAAAGTTAAACAGTAGAAATAATTTTCAAATTTAATTTTATGTTTCACAACAGCTTTTTTCACACCTTTAGCTTTTTTTGTAACACGACCATCAATAACACGATTTGCGTACATTTTCGATCGTAACCCGATAAAGTCCGTCATAATTACTATTATCCAGATGGTAATTCGACGTGTCAAATTTATCTAAATTTAATTTAATATCTTCATATAGGTCATCGGTGTTAATATGTACAGTGAAGCTGTCCGTATCCATATAACAAAAAAAATTATAATAGAATTCATACATTAACAATTTTGAAATTTCTAAAAGTGTAAAACCAACGTATGTAGGTTTGTTGTAAACAACAAGAAGTCGCTCCATTTGAATTGCCGAAAAGGTTTCAATAAAAACTTTGCGATTAGACTGCGTGCTCCGGGTTTTGACCTACCTCTTCCGCACAGCGTCTTTTGAAATCATTTTAAGCGGATTGACGTAATTTTGTGTTCTTATCAATATAAGGTTTCAACCAATGCTTATTGCGCATATGTCGATTCAAACTGTATTTCAATGAAAACACTTGTTGACATTTTTCACAAGAAAATATTTTCTTAAAAGTAGAAACGCAATGATAAATTCACGTAGTAAATTTTATCAGACGATATACTTAACTTGATTAGTAAATTGAGCTGGTAATGAGATGCTAATATACATTTGTAGCCACACTATGGGTACTACTTTCGAAATATTTGGCAGTAATATGTTTTAGGACATTCTCTGCACGATGGTGATATCATCTTTTCAATTGGACGAATTATTTCAAAATGGCGACTTTCAACTATTTTTTTTAAATGGCATGCCATAATTTTTTTTTATTGTTGAGATCCTAAAAACATTCTTTTTACGATAGTATTTCGTTTTTCTGAAAAATTCATGTCTTTTCTCATCAAAAAGCAAATTAACATTTTAATCTAGTAGCGCATGAATGTTTTACTCGATGTTATTTTTGTAGCCGTTGACACAAAAGAAACAATTAAACCTTATTTTGGAATAAACATCTACTTTTTGAAACTCAAAATTAAAAATTTACATCAAATAAAAATGTTTTCCTGCTTTTTCAATACGTAAATTGAAACGTCGTTCAATGGAGTCAATAGATTGATAGCATTGGCTGACGTTTGACTACTAGATTAAAGTTCAATTGTTCTTTTGTGTCTACCGCTACTTGATAATTGGACAAAAATAACATCGAGTGTAAAACATTCACGAGCTACTAGATTAAAATGTTAGTTTGCTTTTTGATGCGGAAAGAAATGAATTTTTAAGAAAAACAAAATACCATCGTAAAAAGAATGTTTTTAGTATCTCAATAATAAAAAAGAAATGTTGGCATTTCATTAAAAAAAAAGTTGACAGTCGCCATTTTGAAATAATTCGTCCAATTAAGTACTAATTAATAAGTACTAATAAATTGATTCCATCACTAGTTGTAACTCATTCTCTTTTTGTAAAACTAATATTTTAATTAAGTTAAATAGTTTACCTGAACTGGTTGAGGTCTAGAAATTGGTACAGGAACATCTTCTTCTTCCTCCTCCTCTTCTTCTTCATCTCTAACATAATTATTTTGGAACAAAGTAACGGAAGGTTTTGGAGCAGGGGTTGTCACAACGGGTCTTTGAATCGGTCTTTGGACCGGCCTAATCGGGTAATTGGGATAATTTGGATAATTCGGAACCCCATCATCATCCTTTTCAACTTCCCTACTCCTATCTTGATCCCTTTCCGGTTCTTGTTCTTCTTTCGGCGCGTTAGGATCGCACGGATTTCCACTAACATAAGTAAACTCCCTTTTATTCCCATCAGGATCAACGTATCCGTATTTCCCCCTCACGACGCAATCAGTTCCCCTAGTTTCTTCCTTAAAACTTCCATCAGCAGCCTCATAGCCAAAAGTAAACGAACCATCATCGTTAACTTTATTATAATTTCTAATCGTTTGAACCGGGGGTGATTTCGAAGGTTCTTTCGTTTTAGTTTTACTCAAACCTCGAACGGGTTGGATGTAGTTGTCTTGTTGGGATGATCTCGAAGACGCTGAAGGTTGGCCGTAAAGACCGTTGTATTGATCAGCTGCTGATATATAAACGACTCTTTGATCTTGGGAATCTTGAGGAACTGCTTCGTAATATTCAACGGGTTGTTGTTCATCTTCGTATTGTTCTTCGTCTTCTTGATGAACCGGGCGAACTCGGACTCTTTTCGATTCCGATTCAGATATTAGTAAAGTTACTAATAGAAGTGGAATACACTAAAAATTAAAATAAATTAATGTAGTTTATGCAACCAAATATTCATTTACAAATTAATAATTTTAATTAAATTTAGTCGTAACTTTATTTATAGGTGTTATAACAAGGGAACAAGAATTGGACCGCGTTATACATTACTTGCTATTAGTTTGTATTGAATTTAAGTCTAACTAGTTTCGGCCCTTAGCCATCTTCAGAGACTCTACAAATAGGTTAACATCTCTCATCTTATCGGGTAAACATCTCATTCGGGTTTAGTCGCGAAAAAAACTTTCAGTTATCAATGTCAAGTTTAATTTTATTATTAATTACTAATTATTATTACTAATTATTAATAGGTAAATGGGTTTTCATCCATATTGGTATATTATATGTGTTTTTAAAAATAACCAATGTTTAAATACTCCAATATATTTTATAAATTTCTCGTTTTCTAAGTTTAGGTAATACAATAATTGTTAAAACTTTCGATTTACATCAGTTTCAATACATCATTCTGTTTCATGTTACAGTCCATTAATGATATATCAAAATTTGAATATAATTGAATGTAAATTCGAATGTGTTTCCTAACCTCAACCTTATACAACGAGACTCCTGACAATGGTCTAGGTCGAAACCGGTAGAGTTAATAAATTTATAAAATATATTGGGGTATAAACATTGTTTATTTTTAAAAACACATTTCAACTTTTAATGTTGACATATACGTCAACGTCATAAAAAATCCTTTAAAATGAGTCCAAACTCGACATATTTAACTTTAATATTAATGGAAATACAATCACTTCCGGTTTGAAACGTCAACGTCAATTTTGACATATTTGTCATCTTCATTAAAAAACCTTTAAAATGAGTCCAAACTTAATG